CGAGACAGTTCAACTTGGAGTAATCCTACCTTGCTACACCGAAACTGAAGAACAATTGGCCGACATCTTTACAAAAGGAGCTACCACCAAAGTTTGTGAGTACATTCATCACAAACTTGGCCTCGTTGACCTCTCTCGGCCATGATCCTCTTAGCCAAATATCCCATACTCTTTTTCCCTAAGTGTGGTTTTATCCCATGAGGTTTTCTACACTTAGGTTTTTAATGAGGTGGTTGAATTTGGATCCAAGTCTAACCTCCATCCTTCTCCGGTTAGACTTGAGGGGGAGTATTGAATGAAGTGAAGAAAAGGAAGAAACGGGTAACTTGTCTTCCAATCGGTTACTACGATCGGTTGCATAACCGATCGGTCAGCTAAGGATTTGCCGCACGGTTGTGACAATCGGTTGCACAACCAATCGAAGCTTCGTTACACTATCGATCGGTTAGGCTGATCGGTTGCATAACCGATTGAAGGTCCTCGCCCGTACGGCCACTTTTGAGTCTGTCCGTACCATTGAAAAATTGGCTCGACCCACGATGTTTTCTCTCGGCCATTTAGCCCTGGATCCTCTCCAAGGCCCTTCTAGAAGCTTCCAGAACCTTATCTCATATCCGTTACACATTGGAAAGAGGAAGAAGACAAGAGTCTTCTAGAAGCATCCGGATCCTTCCCCTTGGAGCCGTTGCGTGTTCAAACCTAGGAGAGGACGCTCCTCTGCTGACGTGTGGTGTTGCTTTTGCTTTTGCTTTATGTAAAGTAGCATATCCTTAAAGGATATTCCTTTTGTAAATCTCTTTAAAGAGAAACCTTGTACATTTGCCAAATTAAGTAAGAAGAGATAATCTCTCTCTTTCTCATCATCAAATCTTTTTCTCTCTAATCTCTCAATCTCATTTCCGCATATCTTAGTCCCATTCTCGCAACCTAAACTCCACATTCTTACAGAGAGATGGGAAAGATTATTTCTCTTTCTTACTCAAATTGGTAAATACAAAGGTTCCTTTTTAAGGACAAAAGCAAAAGGAATATCCCGTAGGATATTCACTATGTACAACGGTCATGAGCTATAAAACGCGTCATAAAGGTGGTCATAAAGCGTTTCTTGTCTTCTTCTTCCTTTGAACGAGCAACGGCTCCAAGAGGATGGATCGAGAGTCTTCTAGAGTCTTCTAGAACGTTTATGAGGCTTTGAATAACGCTTAGAAGGCTGGAGATCCCAATGGGCCGAGTGAACTTAATTTGGTACGGACGGCCTCATAGTTGAATCGTACGGACGAGTGATGAACCGTACGGACGAGTGATGAACCGTACGGACGAGTGTGAACCGTACGGACGAGAAGCACACGATGGTTTCCTCGACCCGGATACTTCCTCACTTCATTCTACTCGAGTCAAGATGGATCCTTGTCTTCATTTGGTTCAATACTCCCCCTCAAGTTTAACCGGAGATGAAGGTCAAACTTGGACCCAAATTCAACCACCTCATTAAAAACCTAAGTGTAGAAAACCTCATGGGATAAAACCACACTTAGGGAAAAAGAGTATGGGATATTTGGCTAAGGGGATTATGGTTGAGTTAAGTCAACGAGACCTAACTTTTGATGAATGTAATCACACACCTTGGTGCTTGCTCCTTTGGTGAAGATGTCGGCCAATTGCTCTTCACTCTCGGTATAATGTGGCAAGATAACTCCAAGTTGGATTTGCTCTCGGACTTTGTGGCAATCGACCTCAATGTGCTTTGTTCTCTCATGGAACACCGAGTTGGTTGCTATGTGAATGGCGGCTTGGTTATCACAGTGCATGGTGATCGGTTGAGGTGTGTCTATGCCAAAGTCTTTGAGAAGAGCTTTTAGCCACATTAACTCCGTAGTAAGCTTTCTCATGGCCCGGTACTCAGCTTCGGCACTTGAAAGAGACACCACCTTTTGCTTCTTGCTTCTCCAAGTCACTAGATTTCCACCAATGAAAGTACAATAGCCGGTTGTTGATCTTCTATCATTCTTGTCTCCGGCGTAATCCGCATCACAATACCCAACAAGCTCCGTGTTCCTATTGCATCCCATCCAAATGCCTTGACCCGGAGCGCCTTTGAGATACTTGAGGATGCGGTTCACCATATTCCAATGGTGTTGAGTTGGGGCTTGCATTTGTTGGCTCACTACATTCACGGCAAAGCAAATATCAGGCCTAGTGATGGTTAAATAGATGAGCTTACCTACTAGCCTCCGATACTTGGTAGGGTCTTCGAAAGGCTTGTAATCATGCTCCCCCTTTCGTCTAGCTTTGTAGTCATCTTCCAAGGGAGTCTTTGCTGGTTTAGCGCCAAGTTTACCTACTTCATCAAGAAGATCAAGAGTACACTTTCGTTGAGATAAGAAGAGACCCTCCTTTGATCTACATACTTCTATCCCAAGAAAGTATTTTAGTTCTCCAAGATCTTTAATATCAAAGACACTTTTAAGGAAATCTTTAGTATCTTGAATACCAACCTTGTCATTCCCGGAGATGATAATATCATCTACATAAACGAGAATGACTACTATACCTTCTTGGCTAGGGAGAGTGAAGAGTGTATGGTCAGCTTCGGATCTCTTGAATCCTCTTCCTAGAAGTGTGGTGCTAAGCTTGTGATACCAAGCTCTCGGAGATTGCTTAAGGCCATAGATTGCTTTGTTGAGCTTAAGAACTTTCCCAGGTGCTTCTTTATCTTCTAGACCCGGTGGTGGTCTCATATACACTTCTTCCTCTAACTCTCCTTGAAGGAATGCATTCTTGACATCCATTTGCCAAAGATCCCATTCCAAGTTAGTAGCCAATGAAAGAACCACTCGAACCGTGTGTAGTTTGGCCACCGGGGCGAAAGTATCAAGGTAGTCTTCTCCATATTTTTGAGTAAAGCCTCTTGCTACAAGTCTAGCCTTGTACCTCTCAATTTCTCCATCACTCTTATACTTGATGGTGAATACCCATTTAGAGGTCACGGCTTTCCTTCCTCTAGGTAGATCCTTTTCATCCCATGTGTGGTTGTTTATCATGGCTTGTCTTTCGGCTTCTATAGCATCTCTCCACACTTGATGTTGCATGGCTTCTTCATATGTTGTGGGGATCCAATGTTGATCAACTTTGCTGAGGTAGACTTGATGTTCTTCGGGTAGGTGAGCAAGAGTGCATACGGCTTGAATTGGATGAGCTACCGCATTGGCATTGTAGTAGACTCTCTTGTCTTTCCATGTTGAGGGATGAAAGCAAAGTCTTTCACTTCTTCTTAAAGGTATCACTTCTTGAGTCACTTCTTGAGTAGTGTCATCTTCCTCTTGATTCAATTCGTTGGAGCCATCACCATCGGGTATATGATCTTCTTCTTGAGTGTTGAGGTCATTCTCTTCATTGTGAGTGTCTTGGACTTCTTCCTCAAGACTTTCTTCTTCTTGTTCTTGAGTCTCTTGTCTTTGTGGTGGATGTGGAGCTTGAGTTTGTGAAGGTTGGTAGTTCTCAATTCCAAGCTTCTCAAGAATAATCCGAAGGTTAGTAGCTCTATCCGATGGTGAGCTAGACAAATCCTTAAGACTTTCCCAATCCTTCTTGTCATAGAATCCCTTGTCTTCCACAAACTTCACATCTCTTGACACCAATACTTTTCTTGACTCCGGTACATAACACTTGTAACCCTTTTGAGTTGTTGAATACCCGATGAACATTCCCTTAGTGCTTTTGGCTTGGAGCTTGTTCCTTTGATCTCCGGGAACTAAGACATAGCAAACACAACCAAACACACGTAAGTGATCAAGAGAAGGCTTAGTTTTAGTGAGTACCTCAAATGGAGACTTGTCTTGTAGAATCTTTGTTGGTGTTCTATTGATCAAGTAACACAAGGTCATCACGGCATCACTCCAAAATCTCTTTGGAACATTGGTGTGAAACATTATGGACCTTGCAATCTCCATTAGGTGTCGATTCTTGCGTTCGGATACACCATTTTGTTGAGGAGTGTAAGGGCAACTTGTTTGGTGGATGATTCCGTGTGATGCTAGGTGCTCCTTGAATGCTTGACTTGTATACTCCCCACCATTGTCGGATCTAAAAATCTTAATCTTGGCATTGTATTGGTTAGTCACATAAGTATGGAAGTTTTTAAAAGCTTCAAGAACACGATCTTTTGAAGGAAGGAGAGTAAGCCAAGTATACTTTGATTTTTCATCAATAAATGTGACAAAATATTTTTGGTTTTCTCTTGATAAACAAGGTGAAGTCCACACATCCGAATGAATTAAATCAAAGCAACTTTCATAAATAGTAGAAGACTTAGGAAAAATAGCTTTGCAATGTTTACCAAAAATACAAGCTTCGCAATCAAGACTTTGAAATGAAACTTTTGGTAGCATTAAACTTAAAGCCCGAGGATGGGGGTGACCTAGTCTAGCATGCCAAATAGCACTATTCGCAACAACAATACTTGAACTAAAGTGAGAAGATAAAGGTTCGGATAGCTTTGTGTCTTCTAGAACATAAAGACCATCCTTTGTAACTCCTTGACCAAGCACCCTACTTGATTCAATATCCTGAAAGTGAACATCATTAGGTCCAAATATCGCATAACAATTTAAATTGGTCGTTGCTCTTTTAACGGAAAGCAAGTTAGAAGTAAAATTTGGCATGTAAAAGGCTTTAGACTTCTTATCAAATAGCTCTAAATCACCTATTCCTTTAACCGGAATTTTATCCCCATTAGCAATTACCACGTTTCCTAAACCCGGTTCAATATTGTTCATTAGCCTAGAATCACTAATCATGTGATGAGAAGCTCCCGAATCAACAATAAGAGGTTTTAGAGTGTGAGCAATAACATGATAGGATTTACCGGATGACTCCTTAAGAGCCTTGATGAGAGCATCGAGGTCCGATCTCTTCACATACTCCGAAGACGCCGTCATAGCCGCTCCCACACCATTAGCTTGAGTAGAGGGTCCAGGTCCGGAGATGTCTTGAGTCTCTTGGCTCCAGTTCGCTTGATGAGCTTTAGGATCCTTCCATTTACTTGGTCGGAGATGGGGGTGAAGAATCCAACACTTCTCCTTGGTATGACCCGTCTTCTTGCAATGGTCACAAGTTAGGCCTCTCTTGTTCTCGGACTTGTAGCTTCCCTTGTTGGCGGTGGTGAGCTCTCCTTTGTTGGCTGTAGCAAGCTCTCCTTTGTTTCCGAAGAGACCAAGGGATCCTTGCTCCTTTTGGATTTGAGAGCACACTTCTTCTAGGTTAGGTAGCTTCTCGGCTCGGAGTAAGTGCTTGATGAGATCATTGTAGGTGGAGTTCAAGGTGAGAAGGAGACCAAAGACCTTGTCTTGTTCACGCCTTTTGTTGAGGATCGCCGGATCAATGGTGTTAGGCCTTAGCATCTCGAGCTCCGCCCAAAGAGACCTAAACTTGCCAAAATGTTGAGTGAACTCCATGTCTCCTTGAGAGAGATCGTTGATGGCCTTCTTCACTTCAAACACTCGGCTCAAGTTGGAGAGGTTCCCAAACACATTAAAGAGAGTATCCCAAAGCTCTTTAGGGGTTTCACAATAGGAGTAAGCTTCGAGTATTGAGGACTCAAGCGAGTTTCGGAGGAGGACCAAGACCAATTGATCTTCTTGGAACCATTTCCCCTCATCAACAAGAACAATTTCTTGTCCATCTCTTGTGGTCGTCTCCTTTGGAGCCTCTTCTTTCAAGATATGGTTCCAAATTCCCCGACTACACAAGGCAGATCTTGTGGTTCGTGACCACAGCAAGTAGTTTCCTCCCTTGAGGATAACCGGAATGATTTTCGAGTGTAGAGAACTCATCTCATCATAGATAGAACTCATTGAACGAAATCAAAGAAAAGATAGAGTTTTGGTGCGGAAGTAAATGAGGTAGGTTGAATGAAGGGTATGGAGCTTATGGCTCTGATACCATGTTAGATTATGGAGCTTTAGGTTTCGATGGGACAAGAAATCAACCGGAAAAGAAGAAAGCTTTAATCGGAAAAGTAAAATGGAGAGATTGAGAGAGTAGAGAGATTTGAGAGATGGGAAAGATTATTTCTCTTTCTTACTCAAATTGGTAAATACAAAGGTTCCTTTTTAAGGACAAAAGCAAAAGGAATATCCCGTAGGATATTCACTATGTACAACGGTCATGAGCTAGAAAACGCGTCAAAAAGGTGGTCATAAAGCGTTTCTTGTCTTCTTCTTCCTTTGAACGAGCAACGGCTCCAAGAGGATGGATCGAGAGTCTTCTAGAGTCTTCTAGAACGTTTATGAGGCTTTGAATAACGCTTAGAAGGCTGGAGATCCCAATGGGCCGAGTGATCTTGATTTGGTACGGACGGCCTCATAGTTGAATCGTACGGACGAGTGATGAACCGTACGGACGAGTGTGAACCGTACGGACGAGAAGCACATGATGGTTTCCTCGACCCGGATACTTCCTCACTTCGTTCTACTCGAGTCAAGATGGATCCTTGTCTTCATTTGGTTCAATAATATTTAACTCTAAAAACGCTAACCAAGCTTCTTATTGGTTCTCATAGCTTTGTGGGTGTGGCCAAAGTCCTATGAGTTTTCAATTTTGGAGCTTCTAAACAAAGAAACACTACTTTAGCTTGTGGGATCCGGTGGCGGTTCTAGTTCTTATACCAAATCATACACACGAGATCTAGTCATATTTGACTCTAAAAAGGCTAACCAAGCTTCTTATTGGTTCTCAAAGCTTTGTGGGTGTGGCCAAGGTCCTATTAGTTTTCAGTTTTGGAGCTTCTAAAAAAGGAAACACTACATTAGCTTGTGGGATCCGGTGGCGGTTCTAGTTCTTATACCAAATCATACACACGAGATCTAGTCATATTTGACTCTAAAAAGGCTACCAAGCTTCTTATGGTTCTTAAAGCTTTGTGGGTGTGGCCAAAGTCCTATGAGTTTTCAGTTTTGGAGCTTCTAAACAAAGAAACACTACTTTAGCTTGTGGGATCCGGTGGCGGTTCTAGTTCTTATACCAAATCATACACACGAGATCTAGTTATATTTGACTCTAAAAAGGCTAACCAAGCTTCTTATTGGTTCTTAAAGCTTTGTGGGTGTGGCCAAAGTCCTTTGAGTTTTCAGTTTTGGAGCTTCTAAACAAAGAAACACTACTTTAGCTTGTGGGATCCGGTGGCGGTTCTAGTTCTTATACCAAATCATACACACGAGATCTAGTCATATTTGACTCTAAAAAGGCTAAATAAGCTTCTTATTGCTTCTTAAAGCTTTGTGGATGTGGCCAAAGTCCTTTGAGTTTTCAGTTTTGGAGCTTCTAAACAAAGAAACACTACTTTAGCTTGTGGGATCCGGTGGCGGTTCTAGTTCTTATACCAAATCATACACACGAGATCTAGTCATATTTGACTCTAAAAAGGCTAACCAAGCTTCTTATTGCTTCTCAAAGCTTAGCCAGAAGTC